ATCATTTAGGTTTTATCCCCGTTGATGTCACTTTACAGGGCTTAAATGCCCAATGTTCATATATGTCTTCCTCTAAAGTACCTTTAATATGGTTTATTTTAAAAAGTTAACCATTTCGCATTATTCAGAGTTACGAAAAAATGCTACATATAACTTTTGAAAGAATTTGATAAATTAATAAAGGAGAAAAAAAATAAAAATGCAGAAAAACCTGCGTTCCTACAGACTGTAGCGCCTAAACGAATGTACCGATTTCAATGAAACTTCGCTAAAGTCATTTTGTCGATACCCTTTAAATTTATCTATACAACATACTTCAATGAAAAGAAGCTGGAAAAAAAGTTACGAGGGATGTTAAAATTAAATTCCGAATAACTCAAAAAGTATACGCTTTTTTGTCGATATTGTATATGGTTTTTAAAAGTTTATGGAATTTCCTAAAAAAACAAAAAAAAATCGTTAAAATCGGACAATTAGGAGGAAAGATATGGTCTCTAGTTTTTTTCCCTGAAGATGTGAAAATTTGGATAAATTTAAAATATATTTTTTTAATTGTTGAGACTAAAAAAACCTTTTTTCTACAGATATTTAATAAAGTGTCTTTCCTAAGAACATCTTTCATAAGAAAGTAAGTACCTAAATTTATACTTTTATTCTCAGTTCTATATTTCAACATTGCAATCACCACCTCTGGAATCAACTTACTCATTGTCTGCATAGATAACTTTTTCAACTAAAAATATCACTAAAATGACATCACTCAAAAATGTTGAAATTGGAGTTAGTCATTCTGTGGTTTATAAAAGCAAAGAAAGTTGTGTGGTTTATAAAAGCAGATAGAGTGAATAGATTTTTATTGCCTGTCGTCGATATATTAAATAGACATTTTGTAATTATAATGGTCTTAATGACTTGTTATCTGTAAGCTTTAAGCTTTAGCTCCGTTTAAAATGCACTTCAAAAAATTTTATAATAGCCCAGCATTGCCAGAAAATAATTTCTATTCAAAGTAGATCGGTAAGTGAAAGTTGTGTGTTGCGCGCACCAGATTTTTCTTGATATATTTTTCAAAAGTAATGATGTAATCAACATACCTAAAGTAAAACTCATTTTTCTTGATTTTTTTATTGCATTACTTATTTTATTTAGTACTAGACCCAAACAATTTATTAACAAATTGATTGATTTCCTCCCATTTGCAATCCGAATAGCTGTCAATACAATTTACCATTATATTTAAATATTCCATTTTCAAATCTGATTTTTATCCCTTCTAAACATTGAAATTTCCAACTTTTTTAGGTTTACGCTAAATGTCTCCTTTTTAGAGCGACATAGATAAAAAATGGTTATATTCAATCTTAAAAAGCATAAAATTATCTAAGATTTGTGTACATAACATATTTTTCTAAACCCAACAGGAAGCGTACTACCCAGCTATCAAAATTTATCCATTTAGATTTTTTTAATAGTGCTCTTTCAGTTTTGAAAGGAAGAATTGTGTTACTCCGTTTGGAACCTCGTCCAGAGAATTCGGAAGTTTTCCTTTAAGATAATGAGCCATTGACAGGAGCAGTAGACGGTAGTCGAGAGCTGTTTTGAAAAGTATGTTATACAGTTTAACAGATCCCCAAACCGTGTAACCTCTGCCCACATAAATTGAAAACAGTTGTGTTCCTTGTAACTATTTTTTTTAAATTCAATGTTTCACAAAAAAAAGTGGCCGAACTGTCGCAAAACGGAGTCCAACATGCCGAATTGACGACTTTGACTTGAGTTAGTTTTCAGAGATTCAGCATTTGGCTTAATTTCTTCATTATTGGCATTTTATTAAAGCTTGATAGTATTTGAAAAATAAAACATGAAAAAATATTTTTAAATTATTGATCTTGGCAAAAAAAAACAAAAAAAAAAAAAATACCAGTGTTAAACTCCTTCTTAGTTTATATCAAACTTCGAATGAAGCCTTACTATTTAACATTTATTTTGAAATATTTACGAAATTTAATACTGATAACATAGAAACAAAAGAAATCAATTTTACAACTTATTAGATAGGTAAAATAAAATAACAAACTTCTAGCATAAAAAAATAAAGATAAGCTGAGTAATGGTAATAAAAAACTGTGACAATATTTAATGAAATATTTCCATGCTTAATCATGAAAATAAAAAAAATATTT